TTATTCTGGCCATAGCAGGGTGACCAAATGTCCTAACTGCAAAGGAGGACAAGATACCACAAAATGTAAGACTTTCAAGAAAAACATAGGACATTACAAGATAAAAGCTCAAAACATTCATATAAATACAAATTCATCCTTCTTAGTCAAGCTCAAAATTGAGGACTTGGAATTCCTCCTGGATTTCTATATTACTGTCATCATTACAGCCATATTGGCTTATAAGGTATTCTCCACAAATTGGTCTGATTACTTACAGTCTCTCCTCCATTGATGTTGAGGGTTACCATCTTTAAGCATGTTTCAGTCTCTGTTAGGCCACATCTGCGGAGCTCTCCAAGAACAGTAAATAGGTTGTTATCACAAGCCTAAAGGGGCAAAAATAGGAATTACCCTCTGTATCATTAACTTATTTTAAGAGGTTCTGAAATGTACAATTGTGTTGAGAAGTTATTGAAGATATACAAACTAATCTTCCTTAAATCAGAAGTATTAAGGATTTAGGACATCTGCCAGAACATTTGCCAGAAGTTGTTTTAGATATGGAAACAACATTGGATCTTTTTATGGAGACTGGGACGACTTTGAATAAAAATTGTCAGAAAGATGACACTTCTTACGTATCTCCTTTATGAGACTATTGAACATGCCAGGCTTCTTAAATATGGGATGCAAGCAATCTTTTGAAATAGCCACATATATCTTCAGATTGAAGTCTGAAATCCTTCTAATAGCACCTAATTTTTCTTTCATTGACAAATCATCTCAGTTGACAGGGTGCTGCAGTCAGAGTACTCTATTCATTTTTTTAAAAAAATATATTCAATGGAGTGTTTAATTAAATTAGAGCAAAATGGAAAACTTACTGCATATATTCTTCTCTCTTCACCCCCACCAACGCAATGTCATTTCTGAGCCTATGTCTTTGTGAATTTACAAGAATGCCACTACTTCACATGCAATGGTTTTAAAACTCAGAAAGAAAGAACTATATAAACAATGTAATAGGATATCCAAACCAGGGATTTGCCTGAAGAACAAAGACTCTGGTTTTATAACCTCAGAAAAAGAAGGTGTGTGTGTGTAAATGTGTGTGCCCGTGTGTGTGTGTGTGTGTGTTTGTATGTATATGTGTGTATGGGAAAGTGAGAGAGAGGAAGCAGGTGGACATTTTTTGCTAATTTTATCAATAGCAAATTTTATGTGACTTGCCTTAGACAAAACATAAGTACAGTCTCCATGGACATCATAATGTTTTTCATCGTAAGTGGAGATATGTGATCCACCTTCTATGGAGCAAATACCAGGACATGAAACATCTGTGCAGTTCCACTGGCCTCCAGTGCAGGAACTGGAAAAAAAATCAAATGAAAACATGTGCATTTGTAAGAAAATTATTTTGACTAATATTAAGTTCTACTCTTTTGCTACAACTCCATGATTTATGTCATATGGTGAAAATGATCAGATAACAGAAAATTTGAAAGACCTGCCAGAACTTTCAAATACTGAAATCATAGAGGAAAACAGCAGGGTCAACCCTGGTTAGTACTTGGATGGGAGACCTCCAAAGAACACCAAGTGCTGTAGGCTGTATTTCAGAGGAAGAAACTGACAAAATCACCTCTGAGTATTTGTTGTCTAAGAAAATCCTATGAAATTCATAAGGTAACAGACAACTTGAAGGCACACACACACACACATTACCAGGATCGGCAGGGTTCTGAATAGGTGGCTCCTGGAGCGTAGGATTTGCCATTGTAAATGCAGGAACACTGCTCAAGGGGGACACAGCCAGAGCCGCTGATGTCATCATACACAGTTCCTAATGGAATGAAAAATATGCTCATTATATTTTTTAGTAAAAGGTAATAGATTTAGGTCATCTGAAGATAAAACAGACCTTACTGGATATGTAATGTATTAGAACAGAAAACAGCTCACATGAAACTCTCAGAGCTAGAGTTGGGCAATATGTTTTTTACAATAGGTAGTTTTTTCTGTATCTCCATACCTACATTTTACATGTTTTTAAATTTTATAAGTTGCCTTCAGTCTCAGGAAACAGAGAAACAGGCATGACATTGTTCCTCTTCACCTTCTCTTGCTTTGCAGGTGATAGAAAATGTGCACAGCTTTCCTGAGCCAGTAGCTAATTCTTCAGTCTTTTTTTATTTTAAAGAACTCACATTTTCTGCTAAATATTTTCTTGCCCATATAATGGATACTATAAGAGGGGAATATCAGCCTTGTGGCCCTTTATAGTCTAACAAGCTTTATCTGGCATAAGCTTTCATAGATTCCAGCTAACTTCAACAGTTTGTACATCTCATGAATGTGGTTGGAAACTGTGAAAGTGTATGCCAAAATCAAATATTTTAATCTTTAAGATGCTACAGAACTCTGTTGTTTTCATTGCAAACAAACAAATAAACAGATTCCCAAACCTCTCCCACTGCCATAATTTATTTCCCAGTAAAATTAATGATATTTACTCTGGGGGAATATGTGATATGAAAAGCTTCAACCACTGCTGTCATTTAAAGAAACCAAAGACTTTGAGAAGTTGGGTACTTCCAGACTAAATTTTTATAGCACAATCACACTGTCTCATTCACAGATGCTTATGGAGTATCTAGTGTCACCCTCTCACATTTTTCCTTAACTTCCAGTGCAGTTTTTCCTCTCACCAGAAAATACTTTTATTAAAGGTGTGGAAAAAAACAGGAAAAAAATTAGGAATATCTTTGGAGACATCACCACATGAAGCATTTTTTTAGAAGAGAGATAGGAGGAATTAAAAATTGGCTAAGATATAAGGATTTAATAATTTGGCAGGGTGACAGATATAGATTTAAATCACAGGAAGAACTTTTAAAAGAAGGAATAATGATACACTGCTACTTATTGAGACAGTTAACAGAAAGATTTAAACAAGATTGCAGAGGAGGAATTGAAACAAAAAAATGAATTAGAGAAGATATTAGAATCAGGAAACAAAGGGATGATGTCTAAATTATATAAATTTTTGCTACAGATTGAAATGGAAAAAGAAATAGTTAAAAATAATATGATTAGTTGAGCACAAAATATAGGACAACCAGTAAAATTAGAACAATGGGAAACAGCAAGGGTCAAGATATTAAAATATACAAAAAGTCAAAACATTAGAGAAAACTATTACAAAATGCTATTTAGGTGGTACTTAACACCTGATAGACTTTCCAAGATGTATGTAATTGATAATACTTGCTGGAAATGTTCAGAAGAAAAAGGAACGTTCTGTCCTATATGGTGGAGTTGTAAAGAAGTTAAAAATATTTTATAAAGGTACACAAAACATTAGAAGGGATTCTTCAGATAAGCATAGAATTTAAGTCAGAACTATATTTGTTTAATATTGTGGACTCTAAAATAGATAAATCATGTGGCAGGATATTATTCTATTTAATTACAGTGGCATGAATGACATTCACCCAATTATGGAAAAAAGAACAAGATTCCAATGTTGGATGACTGGATGTTAAAAATTTACGACATTGCAGAAATGGACAAATTGACAAGACTTTTGACCAATGGAAGTTTGGACAAAAAGACTGGAATTATGTGACAATATACTTATCGAAAAAATGGGGCTCAATAGCAACAGAAGGATTTAGAAACTAATTGGTGATGAAAGATTGTATCTAATTTATAGATAAAGACTACTGGTTAACCTAATATATATGACAGAAAATGTGATAAGATTGTAGAAATAGTTACTTATCATAAATTGATTAAGTGCGTAGTTTATAAAAAATGAAGATATAAAATGAGAGAAATAACAGTAACTGTACAATGATGACTAGAACTCTAGGTATGGCAAGTATTATATGATAAATGTAGGTTTTCCTTTCTGGAATGTTGTTATTGATAAAATTAATATTCAAGATAAGCAATGAGGATACTTTCAAATGTGTCAAGTTTGAAAAAAATGGAAGAGAGATAATAGAAAGGTTTTAGTAAGTAGGTAGATGGTAAGAGTATGTGAGACAGCAAGAATGAAGAAGGAAAGAATTAAGAAGGGAGAGATGATAAGGAGAAAGAGAATAGTAAAAAGAATGAGATGTGAGGGAATAGAAGAGGTAGATAAAATGAGAGAATGAAAATAAGAAGAAAAATAAAAATAATAGTAGACACATTACTGTCAAGTAGATATTGGATTTAAATGAATTAGTATATCCTTACTGTATAAGGAAAAGAAACAATAAGTGATATAGGACTGAATTATTTTAAATATTTTAAATATGTATTAGGTATATATGTTATATGTTTGTTAAGTTGATATTTGTTGCTTGTTTAGATTTCTCAATCAATTATTTTTCAAAAAAGAAAAGAAAGAAAATACTTGTTAAGGGAGAAAAGATAGACTAGCTGTCCAATGCTTTTTGACTGGTACTGATAGGATAAGAGCCCAATGTTATGCTATGGAAATTTTGGATGGAAATGGTGTTTCATTTATTACACAAAGTATGGTAATGTAAGTAATATATAGTAGATGTTAGATATATAGTAGTATAGGATCTCTTGGGAGAGGCCAGAGCACAGAATGTTTGAAATGACCCGAAACTGGCTGAATGTCAAAGGGGATTTAAAAAGGGCAGGTGTGTATGGAAGTTAGAGTGAGAGCTGAGTCTGTGAGAATTGGGGTTAGAAGTCTGGGTGGTTACGGTCAGAGATACAAAGTAGTTAGAGCCAGGGTCAATGTTAGTTAGGATACGAGTGTGTGAGAGAATGAGAGATGTGATCTGCATATATTAAATACATAGTCTGTGATACTATGCTCAATTTCTGTTCAATAAATCATTTTTTAAAATTATACACTTTGCCTCTGAGAATGCATTGTTGTTGTTGTTGTTTGCCTTCAAGTCATTTGTGACTTATGGCAACCCTAAGGCAAACCCATTGTGGGTTTTTCTTGGCAAATTTCTTCAGAGGGGGTTTGCCTTTGCCATCCTCCGAGGCTGAACAGGGATTCAAACCCTATTCTCCAGAGTGATAGTCTAATGTTCTAACCACTACAACACACTGGCTCTGAGAGTGCTACATAAGGGATACTGGAAAGTTTAAAAAATAGAAAAAATTCTCGTATCTCAGTAGGATATCAATAAAAGTGGTTGACAATAAGTTATGATGAAAATACTTATTTCTAAATTTGATTTATTGATATATAGTGACAAATATATTTATCTGCAAAGCTATTATGACTTTAGGTTGTCAATATCATCGTTTTTTCCTTCAATATTAAATTTATGTATATAAAAATATTCTTTAATTTTATATGTATAACAATATGAAATTCTCCAGTAAAGCGGGTTTGTTTGTTTTTTGTTTTTTAAAGAAAGTTTAAGTTCAAACCCAAGGAGTCTGTGGTGGTAGCAGTTAATCAAGGCTGGTGGTGTTCAGTGAGGATATGAGGTGAATAAGTTCTTGTGCAGGAACCATAAGGACATCAGGAGGCTCCACGGTTGGTAACCTCAGCAGTGGGACAGGAGGAAGTCCACACATTGATGGCAGAAGTGGCGATAAGTTAAAGCCCTCACACTCACCATTTGGAGGCACTTGAGGACGAAAGCTTACCTGGTGGACAGAAGCAACCATCCACACAGTGGTCTTCACAGAGCTGAGATCTTTCAATGTTGGTGCAAGTATCCATACAGGGTGATCCACATTCTTGGTATTGCATGTTGAAAGGACATGTCATTGCTAGCAGGGAGAAAACTCAAATTGAGTTCTACTTTGGATGCATGCAGTACAATCTGTTTTAGTCAAATAAAGCCTTATAATGAACAATTGTTAAATACAAATGGCATTTGCCTCCTTTATCTGTTATTCTGTATCAAAGTAGTTGGGATTCCCAAACTAGGCTCTCTCTGTGCACGTGTGTCTATAAAATACAAAGTAGCACAAAAGTCTCCATGTGTGAGCCCATATTTAGCCTTACATCTTCAGTGAAAAGTAACAGCCTGATCCCAGGCATTTTTACCCAATTACTGAACTTATATACCGGTACCCTCCAATTTTCTGGATTTGGCAGGGACAGTCCCAATTCATTCTCTGATGTTCCAGTTTTCCAGATGCTATTAAAATGTCCCTTCTTCTCTTCTTCTCCCACTGCCCCCCTTTAACCTCAGCTTACTTCAGTTGCTGCAAAAATGCATATTTTGCATACCAATATGCAAAAATATTTTGCACTTTTTTAACTTAGAAAGAAAGTAGAAGAAAGGGCAGGACAGGACAGAATCTTGTCCTTCCCTGAAGGATCAGACAAAACTACTGCAGTTTGTCTGAGCTTGTCTGGTCATCACTGATAATGTTTGCCATCTTGAATGCACTATGAAGTTGCTTAGCTACAAGTATCCCATTTTTCATGTGTGAAATATTGGAGGGCATACACTAACAACATTGATTAAAAGAGAAACACCATGAGATTTACTTGGGGCATGGCAAATGACATCTTTTATTTTTAGCAAACTGCCTCTTTTATTTTCAAACTGTGTAAACTAAATAAAAATAAAATAAAATTTACAGTCTGTCAGCTTTCATTAACAAAACATATAATAAATACATATCTGCTCAGTGCCATTTCCTCTCTTTTCTTTGAATCATTTCAAGTGGAATTTTGCAAACTCATCCTTTCCAAAAGCACAGAGAATATTAGGAGTTTATTGCATACCCGGAATACATCCAGATGTTATCACACATAATTCAGCGATTCTGCTGCAATGCTGCTGGCCGCATCCAATCCAGGTCGAAGCCGTGCTCAGCCAGCACTTTTTTGAAAACAGAAGTTTCCAAAGTTTAAAAATTGGCTGGCTGAGTGCTCCTTGGATCTGGGCTGGATGCAGCTGATGGCATCATGGCAGAATTGGCAGTGATTATTTGTGATAACATCCAGGTGTATCCCAGATCGAAGATTGAACCTGGAAGAGGTAAGATAGAAGAGATCTCTCTGCACCGACTTCATTTCTCTGGGTGATTATAGCGCCTGTCCTTTGCTTATCTGGTGTCTATAGCTGAATAGGGGTGCACATCCAAACACTCCAAATGGCTCATTTTGTCAAACTCTTTATTTTACTTTATTGATTAAGAAGTAATGCTCATATTCATGTGATTATATCATCTACTCCAGGTACACAATCTGGTGCCTTCCAGATGCTACAAGTTACAGCTCCTACAATCCCTGATCATTATCCATGTTGGTTGGGACTCTCAAGGGTTTTAGCTCAAAACATGACTGCACAATTGCTTTCCAGTAGGAATAGTTAACCTGAAAGGCATCCTGACATTTTTTATTAGTGCAGTTTTGAAATATATTTTCCACCCCTGTTCATGCAAATCATGAGTGAAGGATAGATACAGGACAGGGACTTGGGGCACACAACATCAACTCTCCACAGTCAAGTGCTGATCTATTAATTTATAATTTTACACACAACCTTGCAACTTTGCACCCCATTTTGTGTGTGTGTTTTGCACTGTTTTTAGTATCATGTAATTCTTATTTTACCATATGATGCCTTAACTGAACGTCAGTGGAAACTGACCTGCTGAAGTCAAGACCAATTGTACATGGATATATTCACTTTGGCTACTGACTAGCTATGATTTACACTTACGGCATAGTTCTGGGGTTCTCCAGTTTCCCGGCTGCCCACCAGCATGATCACACTGCCGGGAGTATTCAGCAAAAGTGGCACAGAGACAGGAAAAGGAATTAGACTCATTGCAGAGGCATAGGTCCTGTACGCAGATATCAATGTACTCCTCCACCCACACGATTTCATTACATTGAGAGAATGCAGAACCGGTTAGTATTTCTCGACAAAAATCCTAGTTGGAAAAACAAAAGCAAAAAGCTTCATTAAGCTTTAAAAAAAGTTAATTCTATAAGTTCAAGAGGCCTGTTTTGAAGGCTCATACATTTATCTTGGAGGACAGCATGTACTGTTGTTTGGAATGTAATACTCTGTATGATACTCTGTGTGTGTCCTGATATGATATTTGGAAACTGTTCCTTATGGTCCTAACATATATGGACGTTATCACACGTGGGCCAAAAAGCGATAATAAAGTGGAAATGAGGCATTCTGAAAATAAATGGAAAATAAACCTTGATTCCGCAAACGGCTTTCACACGTAATTACCTTAATTGCGAATTTACAGTAACCGCATTTAATGTTCACACACAAGCGAGAAAAGCCCGTAAATGTACTAGAAATGAGCCTCTTGCACATGCGCAGATAGAGGAATGCTCACTGGAACAATGGGAAAAGCAGGGAAATGCTCCCAAATTCGCATTTGCTTTTAACATTACGGTAAATGCGAAATTACCGTAAGGTAATTAATTACCTTAATTTCGCATTTGCATTTCCTCCAAACAACCAAATTACAAAAGATCTCGGTTAACACCAGTTTCTGTCTACTTTCTGTCCAGTTTCTGTGCAACGTCGTGTGAAAACGCGGGGCACAAATCCAGTTTCTGTTTGGGATTTGTGTGGATTAACCAGCAGATTTGCCCCCGTGTGATAACGTCCATAATTTGGAAAGAAAAATCATCCAAATCAAAAGAATAAGCATTTAGTTTCTTACGTATACATCTGTGCAGTTGTTCAGAGGAAATGGTATAGGATCCTCACAGTCTTCTGTTGGCCCATTCAGCTTCTGTATATTCCCGAACTGCAAGTCAGTTAAGTGGGCACCTGTTATAAATCAAGGCAGAAGATATTTGTAAAGAGGAAGCAACAGGAGATCAAGAGATTTGTATAGAGAAAGTATAGAGGTTTCTTTTCAAGAATTCCATGGGCATTCTGAACATTAAGGGGCGTTTGCAGTTCTGCTACAGGTAGCAAAGGGTATTGGGCTAGGTCTATTGCTGATAAGCTTGGAAATATCTAAAGTCACTAAATATCTAAATATTCTACAGGTGGGGAACGTGGCCCCCCTGGCAGTGTTGGACTCTCATAAACCCCAGCCAACATGGCTTATTATCAGGGATATGGAGAGATACTATAGTCCAGCACAATCTGGAGAGCCAGAGGTTGAAATATTCAGGAGGAAGGAGTTTTAAAAAGTAAAGAATGACACACATAAAACAAAACTACTGATTTTCTTTTCTTTAAAACAACAACAATGCTTGAAATATCCTGATTTTTAAGAGAGATTTCCCCCCCAAGATGGCTGAAGAACTGAAATGCTGAATAAATTGTTTTTCCACAGGTCTCAGTGAATAATGTTCCACAATGTTTTTTTTTATACTTACCATTTGAAATGAATTCATTGTAAGTTCGAATGCCATTAAAATCTCCACAAAGCCCACAGGTCTGATTGGCATATTTTTCATCCAGTTCCAGCTGAAATTATATAGAAGAGAGTTGATAAAAGTTAGTAGATAGGCATAGAACAATATATATTGAAAATCAAAGACAACAGCTGCACTACAGACATCAAAATAGTTTCCATCAGTGTTGTGTTTTAATAACTTAAAGTAAAACTTGGTGGATAGAAAATTGGGGTTTCATTTGTGAGTCACTAGCTATATGCTATTCATAACAACCTTGTTTTCACTATAATATTCAAACAGAAGCACCAGCCTCTCTTTGCCTTGCACTCTCTATTCTTTAGAGAGAGCAAAACACTGCAAATCTATAGTAAGGTTATTGCTTATAAAACAGAAATTTTATGAGAAAATGAGAAATTGAGATAACAAGTGGCACCTCCTGCAAAACATGAATATGTTAAATATGTAATCCAAATGTGTTTTCATCCTTAAAAATGGAGGCCAAATGTCAAAGGGGGGAGAAACACATATCTTGGAAGCCTTCCTATATCTCAGCAACAAATAAGTTATCTGCTGGAAATAGGCACTTTATTAGGATTTTTAAAAAGCATGACAGATATGAGTGATTTCACCTGCCCACTCACTCACTCATGCAACACCCACTCCCCACCTACCCCACACACAATGCACACACAGTGTAACAGGAACTACACCAAGGGCTTTTTACATCTTCATGCTGAGTCTGGGGATTTC